TTTATCAAGGGCTCATGATAATGCATGGACCAATCATGTGTCTGTTTTTTCATCATGTATCATGATAKCACGACAAGTTTTGGATTGAAATTGAATTGAAATTTATACCTCGATTCAATTAAGCGTTCAACGTCGTTTAGCTCTGGGTACAAGAATGAATGTTGTTGAGATGGAACACAAAGAGGCAGATAAAGAGGTAGGTTGTTGTACTTACTAGTAATGACGTGTAAACTTATTTCTAAACGACCACAGRTCGCTCACATGGGCTTCGTCTGTTAGATGAATATTCATATGATCTACTGTGCGATTGCATATGCAAAGGTATTGATTTWTTATCACCTAGTTTGTATATTAATTGAGTTGTTAACAAGCAGTSAACATTTTTCATATAGTTTCGTAAAATTAAATGTATTGTACATTAGATAAATAATTGTAAAATTCTTATATAAACTTAAGGTTAAGTTAACTTTTAAAGCTTAACACTTATGCTAGTATCTGAGAATTTTGTACAATTGTAAGCTTACATTTAATATGTTTTCAGGGTAAAAAGCTTTGGGGAGGTAGATTCTCTGGAGATACAGATCCAGTCATGGAGGAGTTCAATGCMTCTATAGGGTTTGATAATCGAATGTGGAAAGAAGATTTACAGGTGAAATACATAATTTAATCAGTGGGAAATCAGTTAATCAGTTTTTTTAACTATTGTTGTTTTTTTAATCTTTTTATTTTATTTTGAAAATACTCAGTACAGTTTGAATATTTACAATAAATGGTCCCATGCTTAAAAGGTCCCATGTTTYTCTTTTTTTCATGTTCTATTTTAGAATTCYTTTGTTATGAACTGCTCATTCTAGCAGACAGTTCTTATAAACAGTTCTTATGTACATTGAACTAATTGTATGGTTAATTTATTGACAGTTATTGACAATGTTATAATAATTTCATAATGCTTGAAATGTGTTCATTGAGGATTTTATTTTATGAGCATGGGGGGGGGGGTCCTCCTATGTATCTATGATGTCAATATTATAGCTGGGTGTCCATAAGTATTTGGATTTCTGTATGGTGAGAATCAAGTCATGTACTCTTACATATAATTGATAGTGATACATGTATAGATATCACAATCGAAAGTGAGAATTTACTGTTATTAGCTTGCATTTTGACTTTTTTTATTGATATTAGAACGATTTCACATAACTGGATTAACAATGCTAATGAGGATCAATTTATGCTAATAGATATTACACGATGAGAATAGCTTGTATGAAGTTGTTCATGTTTGCAAGAACTAGACACAAAAATGTTTTGATTTTTTTCTTCATGTTACGAAGTGTGCACGTTGGAATGTTTTTAAAAGCAAACAATTTTTTTTATCACCTTACAGAGTTGATGTTTGCAGTTGGTCAGAAATTAAAGAATAATCAAGTCTACGGTGRATTGTTTAATTTTTCTTAGATGCTTTGCCTTGGCCCTGGCATCTCCATGTAAAATGTTTCAATTCCATTCAAATGAAGTTTTAAATATTGCAATGAAAATATTCAAACATGYAAAAACAAATAGAATAAATGAAAATAATATGTACATTCTTGGAAATAACTGCACATTTTTAAAATTTTGAAAAGCTGACTAATAAACTCAATAACCAATATTTGAAT